TTTTACGTCCGAAAATAAACCCGTATCCGGAAACTACTCAAGTACTAAAGTAATTAACTGTACTTCATGACATCAACTTTTAATCATCAAAACATACACTACATGTACAGAAAACTTCATCCTTTTAATATTTACGATGGTTATATTACTTAAAATAACTTATTTTCTACGTTGTAGCCGTTTTAATGTTCAATTAGCCACACGCTGCTGCATTTAAACATGGCAGCTGGGGTACTGGCTAAATTTCTGCCTCGCGCAAAATTGGCAGTGACGTCATCGAAGACGATGACGATATGCCAAGCTAGGCACCCTAGCCAAGCTAGCCACCCAGCGTCTCCCAGACTATACATAGCAGCCCGGGAATCTGCCAAAAATTGTCAGTACTTTGGTAGATAGCCACCAGACCACACCTTAGTTTCATTCTATACCATATATGAATATGGATGTATCTCCAGCCAACCAGAAAGGTATGATAATTACTTCGTGCCAAGTAATAGTTTATTTAGAAGTTTTATATTAAATCATCTAGTTTGGCAGTTTGGGGCATTATTTTCCATTTATGATGATAGATCCTGACTGAAGACCAAGTTTCCATCCCCTTTAACCCCTTTTTTATAGGATCCCCCATATAAGGGGTAGAACACCACTGTTTTTTGTACCTTTTTAGATCCCCATAACCTTATAGCTTTCATGGAAATTCCTACCATAAATTCGTACCAGACCACTGGAAGCGTACACGTTTTTGTAAACCTTTCTTACTCTTATATTTTTACATTAATCTAGCGTAACAAAAAATTTTCCCCGACCTAAACAGGGGTCCAAGCCAGAGCCACCCAGAAATACTATATCCCAATTTTTTGTTTGGGAATGAAAAAATTTAAAAAAATGTTGATTAATCTTTTTCAGGTTCCGTTTTTTTAGCCTTGTGCCTTATTTTCCCCTATCCATTTACGTGTGTTTGAGAAAGAACCCACGGTCGATATTGAAGTGTGTCCGGGCTAGCAGACCCCGGGTACGTTTCAACTGGGTCGAAGTGGGATTCCAAATGATTTTATGGGTTTTTCCAGATTGATCCATCATCAACCATTAACAGTTGTCGACTTTACCATTACAGGGAAATAACCAGGAGACCAAGAGACAGCCAAATTTTTTTATTTATGTATCATAGTTCATTTTCATTTGCTATCCAGTTTTATCTTCCAAGTGCCTGACCATTTCAATCAAAAAAGTTTATTGTTGTTTCGTGGTTGGATGTATTATGGCCTTATTTGAATGCCATTGCTGACTGTTCTTGTCTGGCCAACCTGAAAAGCGAAAGGAATAGCATTATACATTATACCCTTAGTTTTATTATTTTTATTATTTAATAGTACATAGAATAATTTTTTACCAAAAACCTTGATATTCTTTTCGTTACCAGATGCACAAAATCAATTGATATGGACATAGATGTCAATGTAGACCATACAAATACAGATAGAGAAGATTTTTTATCTCAAGACTCAGACTATTCAAAACCAGCCTCTATGGCACAAGACAATATTACCCAATCTGAAGCTAAAATGCTTGAGATTGCTACACAAATGAAAAATGCTCCCACTTCAATGGGAGAAGCTGTAGACCAGAGACTTAAAAAATAGAAAGAAGACAAGATATATTTGAAAAACAGAAATTCAAATTCTACTGACATACCTAGGAGTAATTTATCTTATGATGACCAGACCTCTTCATATAGAATGTCAAAATACAAACACTATCAAAGTGAAACCTCCAACTTTTGATGGTACTGAAGACTTGAATGAATTTTTAATATCGTTCCAATTTGTAGTGATTTAAATAAATGGAACATTAGATCCAAAGGATTATGCCTAGCTAGTTGTTTAAAGGGTGATGCCAGAATCAATGTTGACTGAAATTGATACAAGAGACCATTGTGACTATAAACTGCTAGTTGACCTACTTAACAAACGTTATGGTCCAGCCAATAGAACAGACATTTTTAAAGCCAAACTTAAAAACCAGAGTTAAACAAAAAGGGGAGACAATTTCTCAATTGTCCCAAGATATATACAGACTGACCAGAAACAACTTATGCCAGTGCTTCTAAAGAAGTAATTGAGGCCATAGCCTTAGATCACTTTATTGATGCAATTACAGACACAGATATTAGATTAAGACTAAAGGAAATATCACCAAAAACCCTATTAGAAGCTGAACAAGCAGCTATTAGGTTAGAGGCTTTCCGTACAGCAGATAAACAAAGAACTAAATTAGTAGCATCAGTCACTGACCAAGAACCTTAAACTTGATACATTTGTACCATTTGCAAATCATTAGAGTCAATTAATAGAGACTTAACAGACCTTAAAAGAGATCAATCTAACAGATACATGACAAACAGGCTAGACAGTTAAATTCATATATGCTACTAATATGCCATTACATGTAAAAAAAATTAGAGATTAATAATAAGAGGAAGTTTAAACCAACTAGTCGTTGTTGTTCTATGATACTTATGATCCTAAATGAAAGTGATATTTAAAATAAATAATGTATACCTATTCTTACCAATCCAGCTAATTGAATATTTAACAAAAATGAAGACATGGAATTCCAAATTTACACCGCTCCTTGTTACAATCACATACCCTTTACATTGCATGAGTTTCAGGTGGACCCCCCTTCCTGCTCCCATTTGACAGCTGTTTACCCAATGCCTGTTCATCTGGTGGACATGTTTTTAACCCGCTCCCTGTTGTTCAAAAATATTGACTTCAGGTGGGACACCATCGTTCCTCTGCTTGCACATCAGAGTGGTCCCTTTTTCCCGTAATATGACAAACCTGGAGAAATAACAAAACTCGAACTGGAGAACGTTTACTCTAAATGAAGAAATCAAATAGAATAAGAGACATTATACCATTACCATCAAATTAGCCTGAAACATTATAACCTTAAAAGTTATTTTAATGGGACAGCTAATTACCATTTAAGTGATGACATTGAAATTTAAATGATTAACCAAAACAGTGCAATGTTTGTATTCCACTTATAAAGAAGGTGATGCCACCTTTGAAATCAAAGAGGTGAAGTTTTTTTATTGGTATACCTTGGGGGGGTACCAAATATTGGCATATATGTTATGATATTTAATTACTATGATGATATTTTGTCTATATGACTTGCCGGCCTATGTGCTTTAAATTAGCCAAGTGTTAATTTATTATGAATATTATTTTTAAATATACCAGCCATGATTGTGCAGTGTCCCCACTGTAAGGAGTGTAATTTTAGGCCAGGATGTAATGAAAGTATACTTCTGTTTAGAATGAGCAGTTGGTAATAACCGCTTCTCCAGGTGACCACACTAACCAATACACCAAGCTCTCTATTCACTGTAAAATATAACTTACATGTATTTAATTATGAATGTAATAATAGAGCTCTATATTTGAATGCGATATTTTAATGTTTGTGCAGAGTGAATGATACCTGTATACGTGACATTTATACAATTGTTTTTATGCCATATAATTGAAGTTGTAATTATTACAACATCAATAAATTATTTTGTCAATTCCGACAATACGTACATGTATGTTCCTACATGGAAATTTGCAAATTTTAATTTAGCAAATTTTAATTATTACTAGGCATATATAATAACTAATATATGCATTTATATTATGTAATAAAGTTAAACTAATTAACTCCTGTGTCAAATTAGAGTAAATTACAACCAATTATCAAATGATAATTACCTGATAATATAATTATCTCATAATGTCGTGTTACCAATGACATTATTTAGGTAAAATGAATAAACCTTCCGACTGTAAAATATACTTACCTTCCTACTATCAGGGCTGAATCATTGTGAGCGGGGTGCAATGTAACGATCAGGCCCTTCATTTTACGATCCGAAAATAAACCCGTATCCGGAAACTACTCAAGTACTAAAGTAATTAACTGTACTTCATGACATCAACTTTTAATCATCAAAACATACACTACATGTACAGCAAAACTTCATCCTTTTAATATTTACGATGGTTATATTACTTAAAATAACTTATTTTCTACGTTGTAGCCGTTTTAATGTTCAATTTAGCCACACGCTGCCAATTTAAACATGGCAGCTGGTACTGGCTAAATTTCTGCCCGCGCAAAATTGGCAGTGACGTCATCGAACAGGACGATGACGATACTGCCCCAAGCTAGGCACCCTAGCCAAGCTAGCCACCCAGCGTCCCAGACTAATAAATAGCAGCCCGAATCTGCCAAAATTGCATCAGTACCTTGGTAGATAGCCACCAGACCACACCTTAGTTTCATTCTATACCATATATGAATATGGATGTATCTCCAGCCACCAGAAAGAAAAGGTATATAATACTTCGTGCCAGTAATAGTTTATTTTTAGAAGTTTTATATTAAATCATCTAGTTTGGCAGTTTGGCATTATTTTCCATTTATGATAGATCCTGACTGAAGACCAAGTTTCCATAGCCATAACCCCATATTTTATTTATAGTGATACCCATATACGCAAGGGTAGAACACCACTGTATTTGTAGTTACCATTTTAGATACCCATCAACCTTATAGCATTTCATGGTAATTCCTACCATAGAATTCGTACCAGACCACTGGCAAGACGTGACACCGTATTTGTCAAGCCTTTCATTACATCTTATATTATACATTAATCTAGACGTAACAGAAGAATATTCCTGACCATAAGACGAGGAAGTCCAAGCCAGAGCCATCCACAGAAGATACTATATTACCAATTTTATTGTTTGTGAAATGCACAAATTTAATAAAATTTTGAGTTAATCTTATTTCAGGTGTCCGTCATCTTTTTAGTCCTTGTGTCCCCATTTTCCCTTATCCATTTACGTGTGTTTGAGAAGAACCCACGTGTCGATATTGAAGTGTGTCCGGGCTAGCAGACCCCGGGTACGTTTCAATATTTACATATAATACTTAACAATATATACAATGTATTTGTCTGAGGTGGTGCTATCTATACTAACTATTATAAAGCAATAGGTATTAACATGTATTATCTAATTTGTAAAGGCATGAACAATTTCTCATGTTGAATAAAGAAATAGTGACGATTAGTGGTAGACATAATATAATTCTAGACACAAAACAATTTACATTGTAATTTATTTCTACATTATAGTTCATTTGTAAGCTTATTCTTATAATTGCCCTACTATAAATTATTACGTTATTGGTGTGCAAGCTATGCTAACATTTCTATATAACTTTGCATGGAAAACTAAGAACTGAAATATGCAAGTTATCCAGTGTATCTTTTTATCCAGATATTTTTGCATCACAACAGCAGGTGTCAAGTGTTGTATGGCAGCTGTGACATTTTTCCCCTTACTATACTTCAGTGTTGTTACAGTTTTCTGGTTCTTCAGAATAATTGATTCCAGCACTTTTAAGTTCTGAAAAGTATACTGCTCAAGTCGGTGCTAGGGGCGTGAGGGATTCTGTACCTCTTCATTATCCCTCATGTATTGATTCAATCAAACCGAGGTTATTTAGTAATTTATCAATGGAGCTTTTCTCAGTAAGTACTTCTTAGTGAAAACATTCGACGATTGAGTATTTTTCACTGAGAAATGTTCATTTAATGAATACATCTTACTAAGTGATATATATATATTGAATGTGTACGTCTGAATAAATTATATTCACGGGAGTATACTTCTTCCTGGTTAATATTCATCAATTCAGTACTTCTCAGTGAGAAGTATTCATCGAGTGGATACTTCTTTCTGAGAAATGTTCATCGAGTAGTAATTATTATGGAGTGATGTTTATTAATGAGTTATTCTTACTGAGTGATAAATATCGAATGAGTACTGTACTTCTGAATTAGTTTAATATTAATTTATATATATTATATGAATTATTTTCTGGGTACTTCTATTATATAGCATATATTCATCGAGTGAGATATTCTAACTGAGTGATATATATATCGAATGAGCACTTCTGAATTACTAATATTAATTTATGTGTATTAACTTATTTATTCGGCAGGGTACATCTAACTTAGTAATATATATATCAAATGAGAACTTCTTACTGAAAAACATTCTTCCAGGAAGTACCTCTTACTGAGAAATATTCATCGAGTGAAAATGCGCACTATTATACGAAGGGTTCAAACAGTGTACTTGTGCTATCGCGAGTTTGGTGTCAAGTAAATGATTGCAATTTGATAAATAGAGGATATTAAATAAGTGTAAGTTTCAAACCGAATTTATTAAACGAATTGAATGAAATTATATTCCGCGTGCCTCTGTCGAGAGCATAATATTATTTTATTCAACGAGTGCAATAAATTATGAACTTACGCGAATTTAACACTCTATCTATCACATACCAAAAAGAGACCGTTTGAAGTGAAAAAGAACATTTTCATTGACGCGTCTATAGTATAACGCTAAAATTTAGCGCGTCTTAACACTATGCTTTTGTAACGCAAATGACATCATGTTGAAATATATATACATATATAATGTAATATAATTTTGGGGGATTCCTCGTTTGTTTGTTTTGTTGTTGTTGTTGTTTTTTCTTTGTTTTTTTAATCAAACTTAGTGTTTTCACGCGACGGGACATTTACATATTTTATAATATTCTCATTTCATACTTGCTATTCTATCTTTATTAACTTTAATACACTTCTTATGAATTTGTCTGGCTTTTTTAGTTATACAGATCACATCTCCTGCTCCATTCGGACATTTTCGACCAACTTGAAAACTGAAAAATGAATTGTAACTCTCGAAACGTCTTATCCAAGAAAACGGAAACCAGTATTTTGTGATTCCCATTTTCTTATCTTTGAAATAGAGAGCTGTATCTTTTACCGATAGCGTCATCTCCCCTTCCATAGCACACATCTTTGTCAGTTGTGATGGTTCAATGATTACTTGAAACTCATCATGTTGATTTCCTATAAAGATGGAAAAAATACAAGAAATCATTTCTACAAAACGCACGAAAATCTATGAAAACTTTTCAACGAAAAAGCTTGGCTTCATATTTCATAGTAGGGTTATTTCAACAATATTCACCCAGGCGACCGGTGTAAACCATGATCAGAAGCCATATTTGGGTCGTCTGATCATGTTCTCCACATTTCATTATTCATTGAGTACTTATGTTTAAATGTTCAATTAGAATTATAAAATGGTTTTGTCTAGAGAAATCAATTTTAACTATTTATTATGGTAAGGGCTAGGTTTTTAGATACTGTCAACCTCTCTGGTCCCATATCTGTAAACACCTATGACAAAATAAGGTCCTGCTGGGTATTTAAGAACTCAAAATGTAAGAAATAATTATATTTCTCCTCATAAATTGCACTTATAGCTGTAACATTCGTTATTCTAAATAAAAATCAATTACCTCCAGATGTTGTTTGTGTCATGTCTACAACATTTATATCACTATTTACTTCCGTACTACCAACCTCCACGGAATCATACTTCTCGTGTCCTTCCATCATTTCGGCTGCAGACCCAATGTTTAAATCACTGTCTGACCCAATCTTTAATTCACTAAAAGATCCAATGTTTAAATCCTCATGACAGCTATTAGTGTCAGAAGAAGACTTTGGTAGTGTGTCCAAATGCTGAATTTCATTATCGGTCTGAGGCAAAGAATAATGTTCTAATTCAAAATGTCCTGTTGCACCCTTATTTAAATCAATTTCCTCATAATAATCTTCATTTACACGACGTGCACTTGGTTTTTCAAGCTGAATTTGGATTTGTTTATTTTTAGAATTATCATAAAGATTCATTTCATTATTGTCTTTGTTCGTCTTTATTGGTGCTTCCGGAGGATCTTTTTTGTTCCAGAATGTTCTTGATGTGCTTTCAGTCACAGAAAAATAGGTCTCGCAGGCAACATCCTCAAGATGTCAAAATAAACATTCACCTTTTTCATTTTTGTGTATTTCAAATAATCGTTCATCTGCTATTAGAATCTTATCGTCAATTTTAACATTCTTAGCATCATCAAGAAATGCAAGACGTTTTGAGGAAGTATTTGTTTTTAGGATCCAATACTTGCCGACTTTCTTTAGAACGAAACTCTGGCTTTCTTCTTTAAATTCTTTGGTTTCATCGTTAGACGTCATAATTCAGCACTTTGAGAATGTTAATGAATAATACAATTTGAAACTAAGAAACTTTATCGCTTGAAAGGAAAGCAAACAGGTTAGATTTAATGGCATGGTATGGATAAAGTTGTACATATGACACACGTTTCATTCAAAATATATGTGAAAAGAATGAAAATTCAAGAAAAACATGTTCCTTTTTGTAAGTTTGTTTGAGGGTTGTCGCTGAAGTAACGAGATAACTTTTGTACATTTAGTAATGATAAAAAAAATAATTTCAAAAGAAAATAAAAAACATGGCTAAAGTGCCATATTTTAATATCATTCGTAGAAATACAAGGAATATTAAAAGATCTACATACTAAATACACACATCACTGACTGAAACACGAAGCACAAAAACTTACGGCACAGATGACTTCGCGTGCTACGTCTTCTGTACGTAGTCTACGCCAGAGCGAACACATTTTGTGTGGCGTGGGGCCCATTTTTTTCTCACTTTCTGTACTAATTGTAACCATTTCGAAATATATCTATCTAATTAAACACTAAAGAAGACTCACATGTGCCTGCCACCTGATCGTCACACCCATCTTCGGCGGTGGTGATCCTGTAGCTTTCCGAATAGACGAGTCGGCATTTGTTCCTGGGTCATAATTTCAAAGACAAATTTCACCCTGGGTGACTATCCTGTCTAGGAACGCATCGCATATTTCCTCTTATCGCTCCAGAAATCTTGACGATGACATCAGTCGCTGGGTCATTTGGTCGTTTATAAGTCGTGGTACCAATCTAGCGCTCAGTTTGCTCATGTTTAGATCTTCAAGTATCCGAACAACTGCATCCTTTGATGTACCAAGTGCTGAGGCTAAACTTCTTACTGTAAACATTCAGTCCTAGGCAATCTTTTCTCTTATCTGCCTTAAGATGGTTAATCGCAGATTGGTAGGGCGTCCGTCTCTCTGTTTGTCTCCTATAGACTGACGTACAAAACGTGACGTTATAAGGTCTTTGTCAGGTTTTTAGTGGGCAAATTTACCCTTGGCGTCATACAAAATTTTGTGCGCCGTTAGAAACCTTGGAAACGCTTCGAATTTTTAAGTAAAGAAAAAAGAATTTCGATGTAGAGCGTTCTTTAATATGGTTTACATATTAAACTATATTTAAGCAGAGACATTGACACGAGTGAAAGAAATTAAATTAGTTATGACAAAAGTCTCTTTACTTCTGCGAAAACCCTCGTATATGTGAAAATAATGTTTTTTGTTGTTGTTGTTTTTCAGTGTTTTTTTTTTGTAATGTCCTGCTAACACATGGAAAACACATGAAGAGATTCTGAAGAAAATACTTAATAAATAAATAGTTGTAATAATTGCGTTTGCTTATACAGAGTTTTTTCTTTCAATAGGGCCCTCCCATCTCACAAAATATTATACAATCATTTACAACATTTAAACTTGAATATCTTCTATAATTATAGTGTAAATGTCAATAAACTTATGAAACAAATTGATAAATACCTCTTTATATCTGAATATTACGTTCGATTTAACAAAATTTCAAACACCTCTTTAATATTCTTTTCAAAATGTCTTGAGAATTGAATATATTTTTATACTTTACATGCTATAATATCTCATCTTTACAGATGAACTGGTTCCAACATCTTATTTGTGTAACACATAATAGACAATTGCAAAACAAATAACAAAACATGAATCATATCTATTTACTTCCCTTTCCGTAAAAGAGTACATTTAATTTATATGAAATGATGATGGTGGACTATTTATGCTTGTAAAGATGAAAAAATATATTGACATTATGTATAGAAAAAAAACAACATTTCTACAGTTGGAATGAAAAGTATCGTTATAGTATAACATTATTGTTCGTATACGAACAGCATATTTGAATGAAATTAAAATAATATAATTACTTACAAACAAATGTTGGTTAACATGTAATGCAATATAAGCTACATTTTCCAATTTAGCGCGTGATAATTGTGTTTAGAAACACATACATCTTATAAAGTGTTCCATTTTTCAAGATTCATTACCCTACAAGAAATTATTATGCTATTGTTATGCAAGCTATGCTTACATTTCTATATAACTATAGATAATGCATGGAAAACTAAGAATTGAAATATGCAGGCTACCCAGTTTTACATCGACTGAGTATCTTTTTTAAAGATACATCTTGTTTCCAGATATTTATGCATCACACTAGCAAGTGTCAAGTGTTGTGTGGCAGCCGTGACATGTTGCCCCTTACTATACTTCAGTGTTGTTATAGTTTTCTGGTCCTTCAGGATAATTGTTTTAAGCACTCTTAAGTTCTTCTCAGTGAAAATATTCGACGATTGAGTATTTTTAACTGAGAAATATTCATTGAATGAATACTTTTTACTGAGAGATATTTATCGAATGAGTACTTCTGAATTAGTAAAATTCATGGAAATGTACTTCTTACTGGTTAATATTCCTCAATTCAGTACTTCGCAGTGAGTAATATTAATCAAGTGGGGTTTTCTTTATACTGAGATATGTTCATCGAGTTGTAATTATTATGGAGTGATGTTTATCGAGTGGGTTATTCTTACTGAGTGATATATATTGAAGTAATATTTATGTATATTAACTTATTCATTTGGCAGGGTACTTCTAACTTAGTAATATATCAAATGAATTATTATTTCTTACTGAAAAAAAAACATTCTTCCAGGAAGTACCTTTTACTGAGAAATATTCATCGAGTGAAAATGCGCATTATTATACGAAGGGTTCAAACAGTGTACTTGTGCTATCGCGAGTTATGTGTCAAGTAAATGGTTGCAATTTGATAAATAGGTGATATTAAATGAGTGTAAGTTTCATACTAAATTTATTAAACGAATTGAATGAAATTATATTCCACGTGCCTCTGTCGAGAGCATAATGTTATTTTATCAAACGAGTGCAATAAATTATGAACATACGCGATATAACACTCTATCTATCACATACCAAAAAAAGACTGTTTGAAGTGGAAAAAAGAACAATTTCATTGACGCGTCTACAGTATAACGCTAAAATAAAGCGCCTTTTAACACTATGCTTGTGTAACGCAAATGACATCATGTCGAAATATATATAATATAATATGTTTTTGGGGGATTTTGTTTCTTGTTGTTGTTGTTTTTGTTGTGTTTTTTTCAATCAGAAATAGTGTTGTCACGCGACGGGATATTTGCATATCTTATAATATTCTCATTTCATACTTGCTTTTTTATCTTTCATAACTTTAATACACTTCTTATAAATTTGATTGGCTTCTTGCGTTATACAGATGATATCTCCTGCTCCATTAGGACATTTTCGACCAACTTGAAAACTGAAAACTGAATCGTCTTTCTTGAAACATCTTATCCAAGGAAACGGAAACGAGTATTTTGTGATTCCCGTGTTCTTATCTTTGAAATAGAGAGCCTTTTCTTTTATCGATAGCGTCATCTCCCCTTCCATAGCACACATCTTTGTCAGTTGTGATGGTTCAATGATTACTTGAAACTCATCATGTTGATTTCCTATACATAGGAAAAATACAAGAAATCATTTCTACAAAACGCACATAATCAATGAAAACATTTCAACAATAAAAACTTGGCTTCATAATTCATAGTAGGGTTATTTCAACATTATTTACCCAGGCGACCGGTGTAAACTATGATCAGACGCCATATTTGGGTCGTCTGATCATGTTCTGCACAGTTCATTACTCATATAGTACTTGTGTTGAAATATTCAATTAGAATTATAAAATGGTTTTGTCTAGAGAAATCAATTTTAACTATTTATTATGGTAAGGGCTAAGGTTTCTAGATACCGTCAACCTCTCTGATCCCATATCTGTAAACACCTATTACAAAATTAGGTCCTGCTGGGTTTTTCAGATTTCAAATACAAATAAATATCCAATGAGACAAAAGATCTTTTTTACACAGTGGTGCTGCAATGAATAATATCTAATTAAGAATGTGGTTAATATTCGCGTCTCGTTTTGCCTCTTTACTCACATGAGCCAATGGGCCGAATTATGACATCACTGTCAATTTTGTAAATTCAATTATATGATAAATCTACAGCCAATACAAAAAGACTCAGAAACATAAAGATTTATCATTTTATCATTTTGATTCAATAGTTGACATGCAATTACACGTAATTTTAAAAAGAAATTATGGATATAGAAAGGAGTTAATAGGCAGGCGTTAGTAAATCAACGTGCTGAAGGCACTGCAGTTGGGACTAACTTGAAGAATCAAAAGTACCATTTTTTACTTTTCGGGGGCAGATAAATCAATGAGTGAAAGGTGTTGCCGGTTGATAAATATAAAGTGCACAATTCAGTATATGAACAGTAGTTGATGCAATTATTATATGACACACATGTTCAAATATAATATTAAGGTTACATGTACGTGTAGTTCCATCACAAACCGTTATTGGCCCTTTTTGACAAGACCATCAAGTATAATAAGAGCTACCAGAGGAAACTTTTTGTATAAAGGGAGACAAAGCTAAAAAAAAATAACCAATTGTGATATAAATATATTAAATTTTCTGTATCAGTATCAAGAAAACACTCAAATGGTCAATATTTTTGCATCACATTATATAAATGTGGCCATGTCATTAGAATTTATGATGGCTTTTGTTCACTGCACTTCTCATGCTAATCTCTTTCACTGTATGAAGTTTCAATCAAAATCCTTCAATATTTTAATCCTCTCTTTGAACAAGTATCATGAAATAATATAAACGGAGATAATTCAAAAACTAAGTAATGTAGAATTTTGGTTATTTGACACAGCACTTCTACACACTAGTCTCTACAACCGTATTTAGTTTGAGTGAGATATCATTGAAAAAATTTACTCCAGACAACCAATATTTCAAATGTTGATGTATTATAAGAGATGATAATTGTAAAATTAAGCTAGGAAAAATTATGGTTCTTTGTAAATACACTTCCTTACACTTGAATGTTTTCCCTGTGTAAAATTTTAATCAAATTCCATCAACTCTTTTCCAGTATTTCTCTTGATAATCATAATTAAGTACATATTACGTATTATAAAGGGAGATATTAAAAAAACTAAGGAATGCAGTTATGGTTCTTTGACACTTTGGCAAATTCGAGTCTGTACAACTGGGTGTAGTTTCAGTGATAGTTTGGAATCAGCATTTTTAACTTAAGGCAGATAATTAAAACACGAAGCAAGGTAGAGTTGTGTTTCTTGAACACTGCACTTCCTCTCAAAAGTCTCTATCACTTTGTGAAGTTTACATAAAATCCCTTTAATACGTATCTAGTTATATTTATATTCCGGACAAGAGTGTGAAGGACAGATGTCTTCTTAAGTTCACAATGTGGGTTTTTTTCTTAAATCATCTAAAATCTCAAAAACACCATAAGAAACATATTTTCCTCCCATGAGCAACCTTTTTCCCCACAAGTACAAGTCTGTATAGAATGAACACGGATATTTTACACAATATTACTTGAGTCCATACAGACAGATGGTTATAACCGCAACTGTATTTTCTCCCTTTTGGGAGCATAAATTATAAGACATGCTAAATCTCCATATGGTTTTATATCAGTTACCAGTATGATGAACCTTGCTTTTGTACCTTTTAAGTAATATCAGAATTCAGATTTCATTGACATACAGAAAGGGGTCAGTCTTTAGTCCCCTCTTGGTGAAAACAGAAGGGGGACTGATAACAACAATTCATTCTAGTTCAATTCTCAGGTTTATTACTTTTCGTTAACCCAGGCAAGCTAAGATAAGTGTTATAACTTATGAAATATGCTAGCTCTGAATATCTTTAAACAATATTGCTAAACATTACACAATATTTTAATAAATTTTGGAATGTGCTGTCATATGTTACACAAGTCCCAGGAGCTTCAATTCATGAAACCTTTTGGGGAAATCAGTCAAAATATCACAGTTGATTTAATTTATCACTGCTGGGTAAGTGTGATGGTTTTGTTGTTTGAAGCAAAAACAACTAGATTTAACATTTTCCTTCAACACAATGTTCATGACTGGCCCTTTACTATTGACAGGGGATTCAACTGAAGTGCTAACTCAGACTACCCCTCTAAAATAGTCCAACTAGTCCCAAGTGTTCATGGTGCCTATACAGTTATGATCACTACATCTGGAAACCGGACATTCCCACATACTGTAATGCTAATCTTCATTTGCTTGACAGTGACACATGTCCACCTTTAATAAAAATGCAATAACAATTAAATGAAGTGCTATAATTTGCAAAAATGCTTATCTTACATGTATTTGTCTCTTCTTACATTTATTATGCAAAGCTCTTTGTGTGTCTGTCATACAAAATGACTTTCAAGAACACTATTTAAATATATTTTTAAAAACAATTACTTCAATAAATACTCATAGTAATACTAAATTCCTTTTTTGTGATTTTTTTCTTTCTGTCACATATGTTCAGACAGTATACAATTTATTTGTTTTGACCGCATACAATTTAAAGGTATAATTATTTATTGGCTACAAATAAATGTAAATAATGGTTAGTTTGATAACCAATATGAATGCTTCAAACTTTAAAAACAGTCTGTCAATTAAGCAGATATTAGCAATTGAGGCTCACTTAGCAGAAAAAAATGGCCAATCAAAGGGTTGGGAAACATTTTTAAACATATTTAAATCATTTGGTGGAGAAACAACAACTTCACAGCTGTGCTTTGCTATTGAATATTTTCATTTGTTTCAATCTTGCATAATCAAAATATAAACAATGTTCATAAGGATCAACTGTATTGTAAATTTTGCAGTTCCTTGGTTTAACGGTTTACCGGTATACCGATATAGAAATAATAATAATAAAAAATGTCGTACCGCAATACGATTTTTGGAAAACCAGTATTTTAAAAAATCACAACTTTCAATTAATTCCCTTCTAATTTCGTACAAATTTTCGCATAAAATCTTAAATTGGCGAATTTTATTGGCGCCAACGTAAGATAAAAATATCCGACAACTAGTACACTTAAAAGTCAATAAGCAGCCGCATAATTCAGAAAAGCGGACCAGATGTGAAAGGTCATGCGCGACTAATTTTGTTTATCTAAATGTGTGACACTTTATTTTCTATTTAGTCCTTACATTTTTATGAAGTTTCTACTAAGAATATATACATATATTAAGTAATAGAAAGAGCACCGAAACACGAGGTTATCTGTATAAATCTGATAGCCGAGTGTTTCTGTGCTCTTTCTGTTTTGTATCATAGCCAATAAAATACAATCATATTCCCTGTCATCAAAATTTGTGAACCCCAGGAAAAAGCAGCCAATCTGCGACCACGTAAAAACGATAACGGACACCCCGCCCTTTTCGTCTGGGCAAATTGTCAGTTTAGTGAATGCACTGTGGACTGCTAGGCATGGCATGTTCTGACGAAATGGATTTGAATTGCAGTAGTGAAAATATCTTTCTTTCCCAAATTCCCTTGGATTTTGAACTAGAAAATATTAGTGATAATGTGGTTTATTCACAAATGGTTTCGGATTTTGAGAATAGCATCGACAGAGATTCGTCTTTTGATCTGGGGCTAGACTTTCTAGAAGATCCCGAGATTTTGAACAATAGCACGAGGTTTCAGACGAATGTTCTTAAGTTGGAAACAAACAGATGTGTTAAAACTGTAAGATCAGAAATTAACGATGAACGATTTGGAAAACAAGTTACGGATACGGAAATCGAAGAAATGAAGTCTTCGAAACGCAACAAAAATACTGCCAAGAACACTAAATGGGCTTTTAATATATTTGAAACATGGCGACAACATAGACAGGCAGATAACATTCCAGAAATACATATCGTGGAAAAACCGGCTTTATCTTTCTGGCTTATTCGTTTTTTAATGGAAGTTAGGAACCAGAAAGGAGAGGAGTATCCCCCGAAATCTTTATATCTTATCATGTGTGGACTTTTGAGACATTTGCGCGAATGTGGAGTGCACGACAAGAACATTAAAAAAGACCCTGCGTTCGCAGAATTAATAACAATTTTAGACAGTAAAATGAAACACCTTTTGGACCAGGGACTTGGCACAAAAACGAAACAAGCTGATCCAGTATCTAACGAAGACGAAGAGAAATTGTGGGAAAAGGGTGTTTTCGGAATGAAAAATTCTAAAAGTTTGCAGTACACCGTCTTTTTCTACGCATGAAAATTATTTGGGCTACGTGGAAGAGACGAACACCGAAATCTTCAGTGTAACCAGTTTGAAATTGGCGAAGACGACGGTGGACGATTTATAAGATTTATTGGTCGAGGCTCAAAAACATACCATGGTGGACTTGGACAGATGTCAATCAAAAACAAAGATATCAAACACTACTGTAAACCAGGTATGTACTTTTCTATTCGAAATATATTAATTTATTAATTGGCGTCAAGTATTTTTTACCGTTTTGATAGTATATATATCCCATTAAATATGCAAAATAAATGTTTTAATTAGAAAAGAT